TGAGCCCATCCTTCATCCAAAACCGCTGAGTCTTACCTTGCTCGATGTACTCCGCTACGGTTTTGGCGAAGGGGTCATGTCCAAGGCCTTCAACGATCCGCTCCTTCAAAGGAAACGTGGGTTGGCTGATGCTTGCGGCTGCACTCTTGCGGCTAAGAGCATCGGCAACGGAATTCGCCTTGCCTGGATTGTACTCCATAACGAAGTCGAACTCGGCCAAAAAGTCTTGCCACCTCGCTTGCTTAGGGGTGAGCTTCTTCTGCGTCAGAAAGTAGCTCGTTGCCACGTTGTCCGTCTTCACTACGAACTTCGACCCCAACAAGTAGTGCCTCCATGTGCGCAAGCAATGCACCACGGCCGTCATCTCTTTCTCTTGAACGGTGTATCGCCTCTCCGTCCCGCTGAGCTTCCGACTCTCGAAGGCAATGGGATGCCCATCTTGCATCAACACGCCCCCAATAGCAAAGTCGGATGCATCGGTCTGCACTTCGTAGGCCAACGTTGGGTTGGGGAGCACGAGCACGGGCTCCTTCATCACCGCTGCCTTCAAGGCCTCGAATGCTTCTTGGCACCTTTCTGACCAATTCCACACCTTGTTCTTCTTCAAGAGATCCGTCAAGGGCGCTGCAATGTTGGAGTAGCCCTTGATAAACCTTCGATAGTAGTTGGCAAGGCCGAGGAATGACCGCAATTCTGGCACCTTCGTCGGCGGCTCCCATTCTTGGATTGCCTGCACCTTCGCTCCATCCATCTTCAACTTGCCTCCACCAATGACGTGCCCCAAGAATGGAACCTCCGTGGCGGCAAATGTGCACTTTTCCCTCTTGACGTACAACTCATTGTCGCGAAGGACTTGCAAGACTTGGCGTAGATGCTCGGCATGCTCATCGAGTGTTTTGCTATACACAACGATGTCATCCAAGTAGACCACGACAAACCGGTCCAAGAATGGCTCGAACACTTGATTCATCAAAGTGCAAAACGTGGCTGGTGCGTTGGTGAGACCGAATTGCATCACAAGAAACTCGTAAGAGCCATACCTTGTCACACAAGCCGTCTTTGGCTCGTCGCCCTCTGCTATCCGCACTTGATAGTAGCCCGAGCGAAGATCAAGCTTGGTGAACCACATCGCATCTCCAAGCTGGTCGAACAAGTCGGCAATGTTGGGAATCGGCCACTTGTTCTTCACCGTCAACTTGTTGATGGCTCTATAGTCGATGCACATCCGCAACGACCCTTCCTTCTTCTTTTGGAACAGCACCGGTGCTCCAAAAGGTGACTTCGATGGCCGCATGTAGCCTGCTTCCACCAAGTCCTTGAGTTGCCTCCGCAATTCTTCTAATTCCGGTGGCGACATGCGGTATGGTGCTCGCGAAGGGGGCTTCGTTCCTGGCTCCAACTCGATCTTGTGATCCACCTCTCTTCTTGGAGGCAGCTTCCTGGGCAACTCCGATGGCATCACGTCGTCGAACTCTTCGAGGACGCCTTCGATGATGGGAGTTGTGATTCCCGTTGAGCCTCCTTCTTCCTCCATTTTCAAGGACACAAGAAAGGTTGGTTCATTCTTCTTGAACCCCTTCACCACTTGCATAGCGGATAAAGCACTATGGGGACCATCTTCTCTCAAGAGATGGACCGCATGAAACTCCCCTTCCTTCTCCAAGCACATTGTGTTGGAGTTGGGCTTCAAGAGCACTCCCTCCTTGTCGAGGAAGTTGATGCCGAGGATGACTGGGTGATCGTCCATGGTGACGACGGAAAAGTCGATGAGGCCTTCCCACTCGCCAAGCTTCATTGGTACGTTGTGAGCAACTCCATGGATCGGGATGGACTCCGAGTTGATCGTCTTGAGCCTCCCTTGCCCCTTCTCGTAAGCAATACCCAGCCGGTTTGCCTCCTCGATGCGAAGGAAGTTGTCCGTGGCACCGGTATCCACCAAGGCTTTTGACTCGCCTTGCATGAATTGCGCCAGAACATAGCACCTCCCACGCTTGCTCTCCTTGACGTCGGTCTTCACCGCGCCAAGCTTGCGGATTGAGCCAATCTTGGCCTCCGCCGCCTTGGGCTCCTCATCTTGAGCTTCCATGGCCGCCAATCTTGCCTTCCTTGGGCAATCTCGCACTCGATGTGGTCCGTCACAAAGGAAACAAGTCATGGGTTTTGGCTCGTACTTACCCCCTTTGCTCGAACCACCTTGGTGTTGTTGAGTGCGAGAACCCTCCTTGAAAGGCTTCTGCTATTCTCCACCCTTGTTGGGCTTCGAACTCTTCTCTTTGCCGCTGCTCTCTTGCCTTTTGTACTCGACAAAAGACTCCGCCGTGGCCATGGCAGTTGCAAGGTCTTGCACTCCTCGACGTTGCATCTCCATCTTGGCCCATGGTTGCAGCCCATCAAGAAACCCGTGCATGGCCTCCTTGTCCGTGATGTCTGGGATCTCTAGAAGCAGCTCCGAGAATTCTTTCACGTATTCTCGAACTCCACCCCTCTGGGTGAGTCTTCTCAACTTCGAACGGGCTTCAAACTCCACGTTCTCTGGGTAGAACTGCCTCTTGATTTCTCTCTTGAAATCTTCCCACGTTACCATCACACAAGTACCTCTTTCGATGTCCGCTTCACGTCGCCTCCACCACACCATTGCAACATCAACCAAGTATAGTGGAGCGGTACGGATTTTTACCTCATCCTCTTGTATGCCGGACGGCTTGAAGTACTGCTCAATACTTTAAAGGAAGTTCTCTAACTCCCTCGCATTCCTTGAACCTCCGAAGCTCTTCGGTCTTGGAATATCAGCACGTGGGACAGATTGCACCGTGGCTGGTCCGCTATCCATGGCTCTCTTCACGAGAGTGACCTCACTCTTGAGATCTGCAATCTCCTCCCTCACGCCGACCAGCTCAGCCTGGACATGCTCTTTCACAACCGCAATGGCAATGCTCACGGTTTCGGAGATGGTGTTGGTGATGAGAGCCACGAGCTATTCTCGCATCCCATCATGGTTGATCTCCAAGCTCGACAAACGAGCATTCATACCTTGAAAATCTCTTTCGACTTGGGCGAAGTTAGCTCCCAAATCCTCGATGGCGGTGACATCTTCAGAAAGCTTCACCTCCATCGAGACTCGCCTCTCTAGAGATCTGAGAGGATCGCGAGTGCTCGACTTGTCTTTTGGCCTCCCGCCTGGGGTAGGCTCTCTGCCACGATGCTTCTCATCGTCATTGACTTCTGATCCCGACATTTCTGGTGAGGTTCTTCCTTTCCTTCTGGCTCTAGGTTCAACTTTGCTAGCACAAAGCCGAACCAGGCTCTGATACCACTTGTCACGACCTTACTCTCGATCGTGCGGCCCTAGCTCTCAATTCCGTTAGAGCGCTAGGCTGCCTTTCTCTCAAACTCACAAGCAAGCAAAGACAAGAACAAAGACAAAGGATTGGGAGAACTCTCTAGTGTGTATTACTCTCAAAAATGATGGAATGAGTTACAAGTGAGGGAGATGGCTCCTTATATAGGCCTCTCCTCATACAAGGCATCAATGCCCCTCATAATGGTCCCTCTACATCAATACACCCCATAAAGTCCCCCCATAATGCACTCTAATAATGCTACCCATAATGTAGCCCATAAGTGCACCATTAAGCTCTCATTTAGGTGGAGAATTCTAGGAGCATCTCTATGCTACTAGTCTTCCATACATGCCACATGTGCAGCCGCCATGTTGTCACCTTGTTGGCGCCATGTCATCTGCCACATGTGACAGTGCCCAATGGACGAGAAGGGGCAGCTTGGACTCTCTTATCGCCCATCTTGCTTCATTCTCGATTCGTTTTGTATAATTTATATGAATTTTTCACGTGCCATATTTATTAGTTTTCGGCATGAAATGCTACTATGAATTGTCGCCGTGATATCTTTGCCTTGATAGGCTTAACTCAGATGTTGTGCACGTTGCTTTTGAATGATTGAAGTGTATTGTAATTGTCTTCGTCTGGCAAATCATTCACCCTACGCTACGTATACTAACCCTCCCAATCGATAGTATATAGGCCTTTTATAAAAGATTCAAGTTTTCTGAAAATCAAATCTCCCCGTCTGCAAGCTGGGAATAATGTTTGACAATCCGCCACAGTGTTGCCAAAGCTTCCCCAAACTTGAGCTTTTCTTGTTAGGATATATCTCGAAATTATCGAAATCGGTCATCTCGTTGAACTCGTTAGGTCAAGTTATCGTGTTAGAAACAAAGTTTCTAACGGGTTTCTAGATCAGATCTAGAGATTGAGAATTTAGGGTTTATAGAACATAATTGGAGATTTAGGGATTTGAGAAGAGAATTTGGGGAAGAACAGAAGAGAATCGGCCTAAGCCTTTAGAGGGATTGAGATCAAGAATTGAGAGGATAGGGAGTTAAGGAGATAATTCTTTTATTGACTTCTGTTTCATATGATGAAAGTCCCAAAGTACATATTTATAGGAAAATACTAGGAAACCCTAATAATAAACCTAATTCTACTAAAAGACTACTAACCATAATAATAATTATAACAATAAATATATAAACCCGATATAAATCGATTTCTAACATCTCCTCCCCCTTCAGACCAACCTTGTCCTCAAGGTTGACCGACTTGATCCATTTTCCTGTCTTAATCGTGTGATTCTCGTCTCTACTCCTCTGTGTCTTGTGCTTCCTTTTCTTCCAATCATGCTCCATCTTTTTGCAAACCATTAAGCTTAATCCAAACAAAAGAGGTCCAACCAGACAGCCCATTTTGGCCTTAATCTTTTTTTTCATACACAACTCATTTATTTCATTAAGCTCTTCTAATACTTTCTGGTTCGACCAATGGTCTAACTCTCTTCCGGACCACTTCTTTTTCAGCTCTGGCCCACTCTTCTTGTCATCATCACACTTGGCCCAATTCGATAGATCTGCCTCCAGCCCGCGTACAGGTTTTCTTCCAGCCTCACTCTCCTGGCCCAACTGAGTTTGGGCATGTTGTGTTGAGATGACCAAGGAAAATGACCTAGGGATGGGAAGAGGGATAGCAACGCCACCGCCCTCCTCTCTCTGCTCATTTGTCGACTTCCCTGCCGGGGAACGGCTCTTCTTGCGAGCATCCCACCTCGCTTTCGGCGTCACCTCCTTGTCGATGGAGGCCTCCCTCATCAACCTCCTTGTTTCGCCACCCGCCATCGTCGTCTCCTTCTCCGGCGACAAGTCTTCCATCCGGCGGCTAGGAGTCCTGGCAGCGGAATGCAGGGAACCCATCGACGTCTTCTTCCCACCCTCGTTGCTCACCTCGACGTCGTCATTTGCCGCGGCGCTTGTCGGAGACGGCTGCTCGTCGGGTCCGCCAACACCTGCGGCGGCCGATGCCTCGCCATAGCATCATCACCTCCGTCTTTCGCATCTGCTTTTCCGTGACACAACGCATATGACTTCCAGTACTCCACGATCTGTCATAGTCGTTCCTGCTTTTGAGCCCACGTCAGCTCCGATATATCGGTTGAACTCATCTGGATTTGATCTAATAGGAAGCTGTCCCTGAGAGAGTTGTGATAAACTCGTCTTCCGGAACCAGGCTCTGATACCAGATGTTAGAAACAAAGTTTCTAACGGGTTTATAGATCAGATCTAGAGATTGAGCATTTAGGGTTTATAGAACATAATTGAGGATTTGGGGATTAGAGAAGAGAATTTGGGGAAGAACAGAAGAGAATCGGCCGAAGCATTTAGAGAGATTGAGATCAAGAATTGAGAGGATAGGGAGAGAGATTAAGGAGATAATTCTTTTATTGACTTCTGTTTCATATGACGAAAGACCTAAAGTACATATTTATAGGAACATACTAGGAAACCCTAATAATAAACCTAATTCTACTAAAAAACTACTAACCATAATAAGAATTACCATAATAATAATTATAACAATAAATATATAAACCCGATATAAATCGGTTTCTAACATATCGCGGCTACATCTTCTCAGCTGTTCGATTTGCGTTCATACAATTGTGCACGTCAGATGGGAAAAAGAATTAGTGGGTGCTAAGCGTTCGCCTTCCACGTATAACTAAGAGCAAAAAGAAAATGTTTTGTACCGAATTTTGAATCCTTAACACGAATGTTATTATTACATAGAACCAATCTTATGAGTGGCTATTCTATTCAAGAATTGAAGGGCATGCATGCACCTCCATCGTATTATGTTTCAATAATCGAACCCTCTGCATTAATCCTGAGTACTGTTATCAGCTTCTTCCCCCCTCTTGGAAGTTCTCATCTTCTTATCTACATTTTGTCTCCCCCTCTGCAAGATCCCATCGCTTCCCCTACAGAGTGCGGATTGGGACTCTATCTCCAAGCACAGGAGAGGCCGGCGATTGCGTAATCTCACGAGCCATGTTCAGTGCAAACATCATCTTCTTTGTCTCCCTCTGTCCGCAAAACATAACAATGGAAGGCTAAAACAAGGACTTACGAAATCGCCTGCTCCAAGGATCCAATAGAAGTGAAGGTTCTTGTAGGATTTGAAGAACCATTTCGATCCACCTTTGCTGCAGTACAGAGCAATTCTACTCGTTGTTGTGAAGTTAGAAAGCTCTTTCCACCTGCAATCCCATCATCAGAAACCAATATAGAATTACACATCATTGAAGATCAATCAATGATGATGAGATCAATACTCACTTGAGCTATTGAACCCATGCCTCTGTCCCTTTTGTTGCACAGATTACGTCGAGCTACAACCACGAAAACAAATTCGTAACTCGAGTACTATCATAACTAAGGAGAGGGGAAACCTTATACGCCGAATTTTAAACCGAACATCTCAAGATTAGCAAGTTTTATGGGTTCTGAGTGTTAGCACTTAGCACCGTAACCGCGCGGCAACTAGACATTTTATGGCGGGGAAGAAACGACAGAGAAAATGTCCAAAACCAGTGCTGCCATACCTGGCCATTATATATAGTCACGTTAACACCTTTGGCCAAAAGCTGATCCACCTATCAATTCAGAAATGCAAAAGGAATCAATCAAAATGGTGATAATGTACATTGGTACTAAATAATTACTAATATATGATTAGCACAAAACCTCATTAATCCTAGGTTTCATAAAATCAGCAGCCATGGGATCGGTTAGCTTGCTAACCCCTCTATGGGTTGGGAAAATGACACACACTATTAATTATAATTAATTATGGGAATTAAAAACTCATATTAATTACATTCCTTTTTTTGAACTACTATTGCATTGATCATTGCACCTGTACACTGAACTCATATTAATTACATTCCTTTTTTTGAACTACCATTGCACTGATACAACTATCATTGCACATGTACGTGTGATCGGGCATAACTGGGGTTTTAACCCAATTTTGGGTCTTTTGAAGGGGAATCGATTTTGAGAGCTAGAAACAGAGTCCTGGAGAGAGAAGTGCAAAGAACACACCCTAGAGGTGATTTTGGAGTTGGGTTTCATCAATCAAGGTTGGATTTCATCATTGGAGTGAAGATTATCATCCCAGAGCAGATTCTTCCCATCATAATGAGTATGGCTGCTTTGTATTTTGTTTCCCTCTCTCTCTCTATGGAGTAGAACCCTCTCTCACTTGGGTACGAAGAACCTTAGTTCCATGTGTTAGGGATATCGATGGTAATGACTTTTGGTTTGTGATAGTGCTTGATTATAATCGATTGAAGTGTTTTGATTGAGTCAATAGAAGCCTGATAAACTTTTCTAGATTTCTGCTGCAACCTGAGATAGATAGAATCTGATTAGGTTGTTAGAGCTTCTTCAATCGGTAGTAGTGATCGATTATACGAGAGTTAGTCGATTCACTGCTTTGTTCTGGAATCCAATTCCAGTAGTGGAGTTTTGTGTTAACTGCATCAGCGTTCTATCCCGTTGAAGACTAGTCGTCTGCCGGGTAGTCTGTTTGAGAGAGGTTGGTCAGCTTAAGAGATTCCAAGCTACCGTCGGATCTTTCGCAATTTAATCAACAGTAAATCAACCAAAGGTAATTACAACTTTGACCTAACTAAGGAGCTAGGGGTACTCATTCCCAAGTGACTCTTCCCCTGCTTAAGAACTTCGAACCATTTCCTATTTTCTTACTGCTTTAGCTTAAAATCACATTCACTCAACTTAGTCTGCTAGATAATAGATAATCATGGAGAAGGCAATAGATCTAGACCCCGGGTTGATAAATAGAACTTGCCACTCTTCTGCATTTCCGGACTGCGATTACACTAGGTCGCAGTTTGGTGTTGTGTTTTAGCGTGTCAACTACAATATATAGGTCGTTCTTATGTAGCCGATGAAACCCATAAAAGGAAGGTGAGCAAATTATCAAGCACAACAAGGTACACCCGACACTCAAATAATAGCAGGAGCAAAATGAACCAAATCCAACCTCATAAAAGTAGCAAACACAACCAAACGATGTCAAACAATTCAAAAGAAAGAAACTCTCAAAACACAAAAACCTCCCCCTGAACTAAGCAACAATAGAAAGTACCTAGTGCAAACTAGATAAAATCTCCGGATGCATAGAGATCTTCAAGAGCAGCAGCGTAGACTAAATCAGTGGAGTAACTTGGTGCAGAGTCAGAATCAGATCCATACAGCTCCTGAAGTGTTGCTGCAAAAGGTTCTAGGCCGCAAGCATTGCCACCTTCATCATCTGAATCAGAATCCGAGTCAGAGTCGCAAAGCCAGATAATGTTGACGTGGAGAGGGTTCTCCCCCTCAATCGCAATCTCCAGCTCATCGAGAATGTTGTCTACCGTCAGCCAAAGAGTAGGAGATTCCGTTCGAAACAACGAATGGTAAGGGAACAAGATGGTTGTGGTAGATGAACGGAATTAGAGCACCAAAGAACATATGAGAGTAGTCCAATGGAACAACAGCAGTGGCATGGTTCATGACCCATAGGTCCAACGGAGTTACCCTATCAAGCTGGTCATGGCGAGGTAAAAAGACACCAGAGCTAAAGTAGTGGAAAACCTGCATGACAGGAAGTAGCACAACATATGGAAGGGGGTCGTCAGGACTAGGAACTTGTCCGCAGAGACGAAGCGCCTCAGTCTCGATGTTGAAGTTGAACAAGCCAAGCTCAGACACGTGAGCAAGATTTTCTCCGATGTTAGGAAAATTCAGGAACTTGTCGATAGCATTAGCAGGAAGAGTCATGAGATGACCCGCCACCAGGGACGACAGGGTGCGAGAATGGAGGCGAAAGTAGCGGAGTTTGGAAAAGAAGTAACGCACAGCAGCATGAAACACAAGAGATGGAGTGTCATCAATGAGAAACCCCCTTCCCGAGGTTATGGACCAGATGACGGAAGTCAAGGCCAAGATTAATGAAGTCGGGTAGAGGAATGTCAATGGTGGGGGATATCGGGTGGTGAGCAAAGGATTGGTTATGGCGAAGATAGTTGAGGGGAATGGGTTCATAGAAGAGGGTGCCAGAGTAGGTAAGAGCGAAAGTGTAGACCATTGTAGTAGCACAATGAGAAGATGAGGGAAGGGGATGGGAACTGGGTGAGTCAAAGAGCGAACAGGCACACTATATAAAAAACCAGAAAAGCTAATACCAAGAAGGAAAAAACACCAATAAGGAAGAACAAAAGACATAATTACCAATCATAAATTCATAATTAACTAATAACTTAATTATTTTTACTTTTAAATAATTGGACTTAAAACTAACGCATTACCACTTGCAGTGCGCCGTCGTAGTTCCCTGCAACTCCGGTCGACAACACTTCCAATGTCATCGCCCTTGAGATTATTCCAGAGAACAAACCAGACCATTGACTCTGCAATTGAATTAATAAAAAAAAATTCAATTAATGAGAAAATCATAATAATTGAAAAATGGATGATAATAATATACGTTTTAATCAGAGCTTGCTTACCACGTCCATGAGATACTCAACGAGGCTGATTAATTTTATGGTGACGTGAATGATGGTATTTCTTTAGGTTCAATTTTTTTGTTATGCATGGAGCATGATGAAAGTTTGAAACACGAAAGGACCCTCAATTTGAAATGCTAGCATGCAACATCATCCCGATAAGAGTTCTAATTCTTATACTATTTTATAGGTTAAAAAATCTAAATAATTGGAGTACTAGATAGAGTATCTCGGGACGAGTTAGAGTGCTAAGTGAATAGGAGTTAGCATATCACTGTTCATTGCATTTTTTCATTCGAACAGTTCATTACTATAAATTTAAATATGATGGTGGAGAATAATGAGGGGCATATTCGGTAAATCAAAAAATTATTGAATTAATAAATAAAGATTTAAAATATTTTCTCTTTCTTAGTAGAGATCGATTTAGACGTGAAAAATATTAGTACGGAAACTACTACTACATTAATCAGTAGTGATTTTGGTGGTTGTATTAGCAATTTTATTTGTTCTTGTAGTGATTTAATTGTTATTAGTAATGATTTAGAAAGTAAATGTAACATAATCACTACTAATACGAGCCACATCTGTAAAATCGCTTCTTCTCATGGCGCCGTTTGCCTCGCCATCGCCCTCGATGAACCGCTTTGTGTCTTTGGTCGCCCGTTACCGTGAGTAGTTGGAGAATGATGACGTCTTCTCCTTCGCCACTATTTTCCATGACCACATCGCCAGTTGGTGGAGAAGAAAGATGAGCGAGAGTTTGTGATCATCACGCCATTCAGGGTGCAACAGTTTGTGGAGAAAATGGTGGGAGGCGGACGATTTTCAGAGAATAAGGAGAGAGGGTAAGCGAGTGATATGTCCTTCAATCATTTTTACATTAAAAAGATGGAGAAGCACATCTGATAATCGTACTTGTGTACTCTTACTAAAATCTCAATATAGGTACACATTTCACTATCTATAATTTCAGTTTTATTCACTCTCACTGCTCAATGATCAAATGATCGAGTCGAATTGAAGTTGTTATTTGGGGAAGTGTTTTGAAATGGTGAGAGATGCTCTGTTCTCTCTCATCGGCGTTTGGTCGGTGTTCGTCTTCCTTCCGATTAGGGAGATCTGCCGTTCTGTGGGACAGCACCTCCTCTGTTTCTTTGTAGTGATGCTAGAAATCTCTCTTCACAACCAGCAGTCGCCGGCGAAGCGTGGCCAAACAGATGGGATGGATGAGAGGTCCACCTACGCCGCCAGGATGAGATCGCTCTGTCAAAGAAATACACAGGGTAAAAAGATGCTCAGAAAGAGGGCGAGCCAGATATCAAAGAAAGAATATAGGAAGCGCAAAGCTGCCCATTCCCCTTTCCTCGAAGACAGGGAAACTGAACCCAAGCTCAAACGTTGCCGTCTAGTTGACCGGCGGGGATGGCGTTTCGTCTCCCCTCTCCGTTTGAATGGGAGTTTGAAGAGAAACTGACGAGTGATCTGGCTGAAGAAATGGCTAGTGCAGACCTTGTCAAAGAAACGATTCTTAGATCCCGAATTGGGGCGAGGTCGTCCAATCAGCAATCTCTTGTTGCCTCTGGCATCAATTTGATTGTGTCCCGAGAATCGGGTTCTGACCGAACGGTCCCGACGGGATCCTGTCGGCCGGCGCTGGTGACGAAAGCTGTCATTGGTGAAGACACCGGAAGACACACGAGTGGGGATGGTCTTAAGCCCAGTGTTGAGGCGAATTCGTCCGTCCGACAACCCAATGGTGCTCCGGTCACCGGAGTGGCCCTTGTTCGGCGATCGGGTATCCCGTGGTTGAAACTGACCGGTAACGGACGCCCGGCGTTGAGAACGTCTGGAAAATCCGATTGTGGGGGCAAGGCTAACAAACCCCTGATTTCTTGGGGAGGGAAGTATCCTAATCTCCCTGTGCGTATCCCGCGAAATGAGGACCTATTTCAAAAATTGTGCTCTGATGATAATCACCACATAGACCCATCTCCAATAGGAGTCTGTAACCAGACGAACAAACGCGGTGCCGCTACCTATTTAACTTGGGACCCGAAGCTAACCCCAATTACACGATCAATAAATCCTAGGGGTTCTCTGGTGGTTCGTACAAGTTCGGCGGCAAAGTTGCAGGCTCCAGTAACTGGTACGTGGGTTATTCGATATACTCAATTCCCTCCTCTGTTTGATAAAGGCAGTTCCCCCCTGTTTCGGCTGTCTTCTCCGATTCCCACCTTCCCGTGGTCGATTGGGGGGACGCCGGCCTCCTCTGCCTTAGAACCAACCGCTAACGGTTCGTATTCTCTGCAGCTTACAGAGATGGTGCAGGCGTCGCATGATCAGGTGGTGGCTTTCTCCCTTGAGGAGGTCCAGTCCGACCAAGCTCGCCGCTCAAAAACTCTACTTGGCCGCCTGTTCACAGATCATAATGTGACCCTCACTGAGCTGCGTGATGCTATCAATACCCCCTGGCAAGCTCGGGGTCGAGTGATTGTGCGCCGGGCTGCTCATGGTCTCTTTGAGTTCGTGTTCCCCAACCAAACGGCCCGGAACTGGGTTCTTCAAAGAACGCCATGGGTGGTGGATGACAAGGTCCTCCAGCTGTGTGCTTGGTCTCCTATGATCACGAGGCGCAATTTTGAGGAGCTGGCTCTGGTCCCTTTCCGTGTCCAGATGTGGAACGTTCAAGATGAGTGCTGCACTCATCAATTCGGGCGTAAGATTGCAAGCGCCACGATAGGGCGGGTTCTGGAAACAGGAGTCTTTGCGTGCACTGAATCGGGACAGAAGTTTGTTAAGGTGAAGGCGGTCATGGACTTCTCCAAACCCCTCCGATCCCAGGTGCTGGCGACTAACGAGGAAACGGGGGAGTTCTGGATTCGTTTGAAATACGAATTCTTGCCTAGCTTTTGCTACAATTGCGGCCGCCTTGGGCATTCAAGACAGGACTGCTCTTACGATCCACCGCTGCGAACGGAACGGTTCGGGAACCATATGACAACTAGAAAAATGGGGAGAAAGCTGCGCGAGGAAGGAGATGGAGCCCAACCGTACCCGAAGCAGCCAAACTCAGTCTGGATCAATACCTCCGTTAGGAATAACCTGACGAACGAGCCACAAGTGATGCAGGAGGAAAATCGTGCTGGTAGGATGACTCACGAAGCTGCTCTGGAGGATGAACCGCTATGGATGGGGTCATCGCATGAACCCTTTCTAACAGTGGAACCACAACCCCAGCGGGAGCGTGGCCCTTTCAGGGTGCCGATCTCTCGAACCCCTAAGATCTCCTTCGGGAAACAGGGTCGCCGTGGCCAATCACGTAAGCCTGCTGTTGAGCACCCGGCGTCTAAGGAGAGACTTGATACTGGCTCGCGGCCTGCTCAGGCTACTCGACTGATCCCCGCCTCGGCAGCAGAGGCTCCGGTTGAAGGCGATGGGGGAAGCCCTGTTATCAAAAAGCAGAGCGAGAGGCAGCCGGTAAATATGGCGGAGCTGAGTACTAGGGAGAAAGATGCATCCCGCCGGCGACGCATCATCCTGGAGAATGACCCTGAAGACGATTTCGAGGTGCAAGCTATCCCGATTCCGCGGCCTTCTCGTCCGGCGGACATTAATCAGTCCCGAAAGGGCAAGAAATCGGGTCTGGTGATTGGGGTACCGTCCCCGAAACCTAAAGCTGCTGCTAAGAAGAAGGCCACCTTGGCTAAGGGCGGCGCTCCGGTGGAGGGAAACCGGGGCTCGAAACCCAGAAATGGTAAGCAGGGGAGTTCAAGGGGTGAACAGAAGATGGAGGAGACAGCAGGTGGCAGGCCTCCGGCGGCTGAGAACGGGAAGGAGGAAGGGTTGGTGGCTGCGGTGGAAATTCCCGGTAGCACGGCTGGGCCTAAGGCCCACTTTGCAGACAGCAACCCGGCTGGGCCTACGGCCCATTTTGCAGACCAGGAGCCCATAGCTTCGGAAGAGGAGTCTGTGGAAAATGATGAGCGGGCTTTTGAGCTCCGGCGTAGGGAGCCGCTGAAGGAAAAAAAGTTTAAACGCTTGACCCATCCAAATCGGGTACACCAAGTTGTTCAGGCGTTTGAAAATGGGCTATCGATGACTGAACCAATCGAGGTGGGCCCGGTCCAAGCTTTAGCCATTTTGGACCCACAGGACTCAGCCGAAAGCCTTGCTTTTAACGAATACGGGTCCAATTTGTCGGACAGTGGGTTGGGGGCTAAAAAAAGACAAATTGCGGAGATTGAGGGGGCAAGTTTGGAGCTCCCTACCCCAAAGAAACAGTTCGTGGAGGAGAATGTGGAAATAGATTCGGTGGAGGAAGCCAGCCGCGAGTGGCCCCAACCGGATAAATGAGGCTTCTCGCCTGGAATGTGAGAGGAATTGGGCCATCCCTCACATTCCAAACTGCTGTAGGGCTTTTGCGTTCCAATAAACCGGATCTTGTGTTCTTTTCGGAGACACGATCGAACCGGAGAGTAGTTTCCCGTCGTATGAGGGGTTTAGGTTTTGATCTTGCTCAATGTTTTTTTGTTGATGCGATTGATGCATCGGGTGGGTTAGTAGCTGCTTGGTCCCCTGGGGTTGATGCCTCGGTGTTGTTTCATTCAAATTTTTGTATTTGTGTTCAAATTAATGAATTGGAGATTTCTTATATGGTGATGTTTGTTTACATCAGTTGCCATTTACCAATCCGGACGACCCAGCTAGACCAGCTCCGTGATCTTTGTGCTACCATCCAACTCCCTTTTGTCGTCATTGGTGATTTTAATGCGACTCTCCAGGAGAGTGAGAAGGATGGTGGTCTCCCTTGGAATGCCGCCCATGCTGCCAGTCTTCGTGAATTTGTTCATGACTTAGGGCTCCATGACCCAGGCTACCAAGGCGACCTGTTTACCTGGACAAATAAACGGATGGGAGCTGCGGGCATTCGTGCGAGATTAGATAGAGCTTTGTGCTCCCAGTCCTGGATTGACTTATTCCCTGACACTATTCTAAAGAATTTTACGGATCAGGGGTCGGACCATCGTGCTTTACTTTTGGCGGACAAACCATATGTCAGAGCTAGTCGCCCCCTGTTCCGGTTCGATGCTCGGTGGGCCGAGAATCCTGAGGTGAGAGCGATGGTCAATTATGTCTGGCAGGAGGAAGTGCAAGGAACTCCCATGTTTAAGCTTTGGGAACGACTGAAGAAACTCCGGCATCTACTCTATGACTGGAGTAGAGCTGGCACTACGAACTCCTTGCGCAACATCAAAACTCTCCAAACAGAGATTGATCGAATCAAGTTAATTTCCCCAATTGATTGGGATGAAGTCAAGAGATTGGAGATTGAGCTGAGTAGACAGTGGGAAGCGGAGGAGGTCTATTGGCAGCAAAAATCCCGGGTCAGCTGGCTGAAGAAAGGGGATAATAACACCTCGTACTTCCATACGGTCACTAGGGTGCGTCGGAAGAAGAACTTTGTTGCTGGTCTTCGAAATGACGAAGGGGAATGGATCACAGAAGAAAATGGAAAGGCTGCTCTGGCAGATTCTTTCTATAGAACTCTATTCACTTCAGAAAGCCAGGTTCCAAATATGGCTGAAAGGGTTGCTTCGCTGCCTATTGCCCGCAGTGTTACTCCTGCGATGAACACTCTATTGACTGCCGCAGTTCTCCCGACAGAAGTTCGTAGTACGGTCTTCTCTATGGGATCGAAACAGGCCCCTGGGTCTGATGGTTTCACGGGGAAGTTCTTTAAAGCCTTTTGGGATGTGGTTGGTAACTCTGTTACTGAGGCGGTCTGCTCTTTCTTTGTGACTAGTCGTATGCTCCGCAGCTTTAACCACACGTGGCTCACTCTGATTCCCAAGGTGGATAATGTGGAGACTATGCGTCAGCTTCGCCCAATAAGCTTATGCCAGTTTGTCTATAAGATCATAACTAAAATAATGGCAGGGAGGCTTGCTGGTATCCTTCCTCAGGTCATCTCGGAAGGGCAAAATGCCTTCATTCGGGAGCGGCAAATCATTGATAATGTCCTTCTCGGGCATGAGTTGATGCACTATTTAAAAATCAAAACTGGCGGCAAGAAAGGTTACATGGCTCTAAAGGTTGACATGGAAAAGGCCTATGATAGAGTCGAATGGGCTTTTCTTCTAGCAGTTTTGGAAAAAATGGGATTCAACTCTGTTTGGCGAGGATGGATCCAAGAATGCCTCAGGTCGGTGTCGTTTTCTATCTTAATGAATGGGAATCCTGCTGGTTTCTTTTCTCCCTCTAGAGGATTACGGCAAGGAGACCCCCTCTCTCCATTGCTATTTGTCATCTGCACAGAGGGATTTGCGGCTTTGCTCCGTCAAGCCATTGCTGATAAAAAATTAGAAGGGGTGAAGGTGGCTCCCCGTGCTCCTCGGATATCCCATCTTTTCTTTGCGGATGATTCCTATTTATTCCTCCGAGGTTCGCTTCAGGAATGTGAAAATCTGATAGAGGTCTTGAATGAATATGAAGAACTTAGTGGTCAGAGGGTCAATTTGGATAAATCTGCTGTTTGTTTCAGTAAGAATATATCGGTACCTGACCAAGAGTTCCTGGCCCGGATACTGGGGGTTGGGGCGGTAGGCGTTCATGATAAATATCTGGGATTGCCTACCCTTATAGCTCGATCTAAGATGGCTACCTTCCGGTATCTGGAGGAGAAACTACTGGCGCGCCTGCAAGGTTGGAAGCAACGAACGCTTTCTTGGGCGGGTAAAGAGACTTTGATTAAATCAATAGCGTTAGCTCTGCCCCTGCATGTCATGTCATGTTTCCGGCTTCCGTTGTCCCTGTGTCGTCTCCTTGACAGACATGTGGCCCGCTTTTGGTGGGGGGTGGAAGATGGACATCCTAGGATTCGGTGGGCTTCCTGGCGTAACATGTGTAGAAGTAAACATGAAGGAGGAATGGGTTTTTGCCGGTTTGAGCAATTTAATCAGGCCCTCTTGGCAAAAATCGGATGGAGAATCCTTAATGAGCCGGACTCTTTGTTAGCCCAAGTGTATAAAGGCAAATATTTTCCTAATGGTGACTTCCTCTCCGCCACTGCTAGGTCCCGCCCGTCCTGGGGATGGCAAGGTGTCCTTTTTGGTCGTCAGTTGCTGGAGAAAGGTTTAAGGTGGCAGATTGGGAATGGGCAATCTGCTTCCCTCCTTCATTCGAACTGGATCCCACAGGTTCATCCCTATCCGGTTCAGTATAACCCCCGGGTTTTGCCTACAGGGGGGGATCCTAATGTGGCTGAAATAATTAATCTGGAGGGCAGGTGCTGGGCGGAGGATAAGCTTAGTCAGTGGTTTGACCCTGCTACGTGTAAAGCGATAAAAGCTATCCCCCTTCCTAGGCGGGAGCTCGATGATAGATTAATCTGGCATGCCACGGCGGATGGGGTTTTCTCGGTTAAATCTGCTTATCATCTAGCGGTGACGATTGAGAGGGGTACTGGTGGATGGCGCCAGCTAGCTAGTTGGATGGACAAACCTAGCTGGATCCGTTTGTGGGAGGCTAATATCCCGCCTAAGCTCAAAGTCTTTTGCTGGCAGATTTTCAACCGACTCCTTCCAACCACGGAGGCCCTTCGGGAAAAGGGGGTAGAGGTGCTTCCTCGGTGCCCGGTCTGTTGGGCGGAATCCGAAACTATGGAACATTTGTTTTTAGAGTGCCCAGTGGCTAGGGCTTTGTGGGATTTATCGGGGCTGGAATACCTGGGCCAAGGGTTGCCAATGCAGACTTTCCCCCTTTTCCTCAAAAGACTGATGAGTTTAGTGACCCAGGCTCCTCTCTTTATGAAGATAGTGGCTATCCTGTGGCGGATTTGGCGGTCTAGAAACTGGGTGGTGTTTGAAGGGAAGCAATTTGGGATGGTGGCCTTAATGCGTCAGTTTACGCAGCAAGTTGAAGAGTGGGTACGCTTACCTGTCGATCGTCCCTCGGCCTCGTACGTCCCTTCGGTAGGGCGTCAGGTGTCTGGCCCTGCTATGCGGCCTGTTTGTAGGTGGGATGGGGCGACTAGGTGTGGTTCTCATGCGGCGGGTGGGATGGTGATTGTGGATGAGAGTGGTAATCCGGTTTTAGCTCAGGGGGTTCAGATTCCGCATATTGATGATCCTCAAATTGCTGAACTGCTGGTGCTCCGAGAGGCAATTCATTGGTGCCTAAGTCTGGGTTTCTCGGGGATGCAATTTGAAGGTGACGCCAAAGTGATTATTGATAAGCTAAATCAGGGGGATGCGAATGACAGCCAGATGGGAGTGATTCTGCAAGAAGTTATCAATCTTTTAGCTTTCCATTCTGGGTTTTGTGTACGGTTTGTAGGTCGGAGTAACAATAGGGTAGCCCATTTGGTGGCAAGAAAGGCCCTCTCTTTGTACCCGGCTACGTGCCGTTTCTATGATTTTAAGGCCTGGCTTTCCTCCAGGATGTAACTATTTGTCTTCAATCTAATGGATTATCTTTTGTCAAAAAAAAAAAAAAAAAAAAAAGGTAAGCGAGTGATATATTATGTGTAGATATATTAGGGTTTAGGAGGAACGGTTAGTATTTTGACTAAATTGCCCTTTATAGCACCGTATCCCATTCCGACTAACTCCTAATCTTTCTCAGAAACGGAAGAGATAGATTGTGTTGTGAGCAAGAAACGTGAGAGGATAAAACCCTAGAGCGCAAAAGCTAGTCAAGTAACAGCGAAGCCCTACAAGCAAAGCAATCCATCTCTGTAACTCACTCTGTCTAGCGCAAATAGCCGGCCGCCATTGCAGAATCCTTCCACAGCAGCTAGCATCTCGATCGAGCATGTAAGCCGTCTGTCGATCTGCTGCTCTCCTCTCTTCTTGGTCCCTCGATCATACCTACGTGTATTCTAGATCGGTAGTCTCTAGAAAAGCCAGTTATCTTTCAAACGCCGCCGGACGTGCGGAGGTGGCGATCGATTTCGTTGATCTTTATTGCAAAAGAAAAGCCAATTAACGCATCAGTCTTCGTTCCTCTATGGTTTTATGCCGGCGTTTTCTTTTTATTGTTTTTTTTAAAGAATGTCAGGGCGTTTCTTTTTTTATCCTTTTGTTTTACAGAACGCCAGAGCAGAGAGAATGAGACTCTTCAGGAAACAGGAAAAACCAAGGTAGAATTTAGTTACTGGTTCATAAATTACTCTGCAACAATACTTCTATGTTCCTTTTTACGATCCAGCTCAGCTGTTTTGTATATCGATGGATCTTCTTGTCCCTCAACCATGCATTTTTTTTTTCAATCGATGGATTGTTCATCTTACTTCAAAAGAAAATTTGGTTAAATCACTAGTCTTCGTTCATCTTTATATCTATGTCAGCTTTTTTTGGTTCAAATTTTTGTATCCATTTTGTTACAGAGGGCTAAGGCATCTCTTCAAGAAAGAGGAAAAAACAAGGTAGACTATCTAGTTAATGGTTCAGACATTACTCTGCAGCAATTGGATTCTGTTTTTTTTTTTTTTTTTTTCTGTTCAATAGGTCTCTATTCTATTTTACGATCAATCCGTCTCTTAGAGTCTCTCAATCATGCATTTTTCTTTCAATCCAGCTAATGCGTTGATCTTACTGCAAATCAATTTTTTCTATCTTTTTGTTGCAGATGGATAATGCGTTTCTTCAAGAAAGAGGAAAAACCAAGGTAGATAATTTAGCTAGTGGTTCAGAATATGAGTCTGCAGCAATGGGACTCAATCTTTCTTTTCTTTTCTGTTCAATAGGTCTTTGTTCTATTTTGACGATCGATCTATTTCTTAGATCGATGGATCTTCTGGTGACTAGATCATGCATATTTTCATTTCAATCGATCGTTGATCTTACAGCAAAAGAAAATCCACTTTATGCGTTTGCTGGTACAATTTTTTCTATCCTTTTTGTTACAGAGCGCTAAAGTGGCACTTCAAGAGAGAGGGAACACCCAGTTAGATAATTTATTTAACGATTCGGAGATTACTCGGAAACAATGGAACTCTATTTTATTTCTTTTTTGTTCAATAGGTTTTTGTTCTATTTTATGATAGATCTTTTGGTCCCTCGATCTTGCGTCGATTGATTGTTAATACTTATTGCAAAAGAAGATCCAGTTATGTGTTTGTTTTTTCAATGTACTAGATCTTTTTTTTATTTTTTTTGTTACAGAGGGCCAGTGCATTTCTTCAAGAAAGAGGAAGAAACAAGGTTAAGGTTAAATAATTTAGTTAATGATTCAAAAATTACTCTACAACAATGGGACTATATTTTTTCTTTTCTATTTTGTTCAATATGTTTATGTTTTATTTTATGATCGATGGATCTTCCGGTCCCTCGATTATGCATTTTTCTTTCAATCGACCGATGGTTGATCTTACTGCAAAAGAAAATCCAGTTAATGCGTTTGATTTTTTTTTTCTTTTGTTAAAGAGGACTACTGCGTATCTTCAAGAAGAAAGAGGAAAACACAAGGTAGATAATTTAGTTAATGATTCATAAATTACTCTCCAGCTATGATAGTTTGATTGAGATAGTTGCAATGCATCATTTTCTAAATTTTCTGTACAAGTAATATATGCATTGTTTGCCTGATGTGATACAAATGATTACTAAATCTCAAGTTTTCTCTTAACTATGTCTCTATCTTTTCATATTAAAAACAAATTAAAAGGTAAGGGTGATATTTAACCATCACAACAATCAAATGTTGTAAACTACAATACACTAATTTTTCTTATATACATGTATATTATCATGCATACATTCACCGATAACAATGCATCAATTTAACTATTACCAAAGAGTCCTTTGTTGCCCCCTTCTTCTCTGTGCAATATCTTCTCTGTTTCTGCTTTCCTGATATTTTCTTCGGTTTGGAATTGAGTTTTCCACTTTAGAAATTTAAAATCATATAGACTTATCGTTAAATTCCTATTTGCGTTCTAGCCTCTAGTATAACGATTTAGTAGATTAGTTATGGCCAAGAATGATACGAAATTGAAAATCTCACAAATCGTATGAAAATTTTCGGTCCACTTTCCTGTTTCTGTAACAGGCGCTCCCGATGGCCAAGGTCGGTCATGCTGCCAGAGGTGTTCTGCTGCGGGTTTGCAGACAGACAAGCTATAGCTATCGAAAAGATCAAGCTTCTTAAGAAGCGCCGGCGCGCCGCCGCAGCCGCCGGCGACGCGGCACGAGTCGCTAGCCTGGATGTGAACATTACGGCCGCGCTGGAGATATCTGCTACCCTGCTAGGAATTATTGAGCCGGTATTGGGTATTTTTGATTACACCGAGCTCTATCGCGAGTACATTCCAAGGCCGCGTGGGGTTCGGGACGACAGGACGGTCTGGACGGTCGTCGGAGAGACAGCCGCCGCCACCATCGAGCGGATCAACGAAATGGAGATGAGAGCGAAGGATTACGTCGAGACTCTGATGGAGCGCGACGCTATGGCTCAGAAGGTGGAAGCCTTCATTGACACGGAGGCTATACCGCAGACTAGAGTTCAACCGAGGCTTCACAAAGATGGCTGGGACAAGGCCAAAGAATGGGTTGACCTTCTCCACGCTTTGACCCTGAAGGGCAGCGGTCTTGATCTCGACGTTGAGATTATGAACAAGTCACTGAGCATTCTTAAGGTAAAGATTCACCAGGCAGCAGAGGCTATACTTGCTGCCGACGCCCAAGACCTTGCCCTTCCCCACTACTTAGCCGCTCACAAAGGTAAGGTCTGCGCACACAAAGAAGAGAAGGTCCAAGCTGATGGTTACAAGGACGACAAAGACGGCCTTAAGACAACAATGCTTGAGATCAGTAAGCTGGAAGAGGAGATAAACGGGAAGATAGCGGCGAAGGTTGGTCTGGTGAAAGAGATTGCAGCAGCAGCACCCAGCCTGTGCGATGGAGACAAAAAGCCCGAAGAATCTTCGTCGTCGTCGTCGCTCATCAAGAACATAGCGGTAAAGCTTGGCCTGGTGAAAGAGAATATTGTGGTGGCAAGAGATGAGGAGCTTCAAGAGTCACTGATCAAGCAGTTTGATAAGGCGAGGGAGGAATTCGATCATCTCTGTGCTGCTCTTCGCTCCAAGAGATCATCACTGATGAATCCCAACAGGGCCACGCTCAAACGAAAGGAAATCGGCATTGGATCCCAACATGGCTGCTGGCAACCCTCAAACAAAAAGAAATTGGCAACTGGGGTTGCTGTTCAGAAGGTGAAGATGGAGATGCTTGAAGACGAAGACCAGAAGGTGAAGATGAAGATGCTTTGAAGAAGAAGACGTTTCTGTATGAGAAACGTTTCAATCTGCCCCTTTAAGTTTTTACATGCAAACTGTGTCGTTTTGTCTATTACGCGGTAGCCGTTATTTAAGTATTGTTCATCTTTGTAGTAGCCTATAAAATAGGGACACGGGCTAGCGGGCTAATTTAAATTAGCACTATAAGGGAATGGGCCTAGTCCCAGAGGTTCTCTTTCAACGGTTAGAGTAACTACTATCGACACATTTGAGGGTTCTGATTTTTTCCAAATTTCTATCTAGAAATCTCATATTGTATCACAGCGGTTCCGCTCCTAGGGTTGCGATGAACACTTTGCTGTCATGAAACCAGAGCCGACCCCAGTCATAATATATATATTGAATAATAAGTTTTTTTTTCTTCAAAAGAAAATAATAAGATAAAGATAATAGTTCCGTATCTACTGGTCTTGATGGTAAGTGCCTAAGTGGTTGGTCATCAGGTGGATTCTGTACCTGCTCTTACAGAGCACATACATAGGACAACTGCAAGACTGCTGCTCCACATCGATGGGTAAGGCTAGATATTATTTTGTTATTATGTTCTAAAAAAAAGTTGGTTCAGTTTACAATTATATTCAGACTAGCAAAAGTCCGCTCGTTATCGCTTCGCATATAAAAAAAAATAAAGATTGTGAAAGTAATCTTATTTCATTCTTAACCATTCTTTTCATAACGCTAATGTTTCATGACGCAAATGTTTCAATTTGTATACTAGTAGTTGATCCTGCTGTAACTTTTGCAGAATGAACCAGCTTCTCTGGTTTTTTTCAAAAAGTATTTTAATAAACATTATTGAGTGTTTTGCTGAAAAACTATCAGAATTACTTTCTAATATAAGAGTTAATGGAAAATGACTAAAAAAGATTTCTAACATAAAATATGAATACAAATTCAAAAATTAAAAAGTATTTAAAATGGATCACATTAGATTTATTTCATATTACATAATACTAATTTTTCATTTATCTTTTTTATAATGATATAAATGAAATAAAATATTGTTTTCTAGAAAAAGATTAATATATGCTAAGGACAATTTTGTATTTTCAAATTGGAGCTTCTGCTTTACGAAAAACTTTCAGTTTTTTAAAAAGCGAAGGGTTTTTGGATCAAAGTGGATTTCATATTAATTCTAACTCAAATTGAATGATGATTTTTTCGTTAAATAATTTAGTGCTAAAGACATTAATTAAAAATATGAATATAAATATCACTTTCTACTACCGTAATAAACATGGTAAAATATGTTTAAAAAAATTACAAATCTAACTATCATGCAATACCACATGGTATAACGTGATAAAATATGCTAATGAAATTTACAAATCCATATGGTATAACATGCTAAAAAAATTACAAATCTAACTACCAAACAATAGAACATGGTATAACGTGGTAAAACATGCTGCAATAATTTATAAATATAATTACCATACTATATATAGAGTATAAAATGCTAAAATAAAATTACAAATCCAACTACCACCACATGGTATGACTTGGTAAAACACCCTAGAAATATTATAAATATAACTAGTATACAATACAACTATAGTAGCACATGGTAAATCAAATGACCACAAATTAATTATAATTACCATAGCATACCGCATGGTAAGAGAAGGTAAAACCATATAAAAAATTTAAATCTAATTACCACCCTATATAAATAGAATTTCTCGGAATTGGTGTCGATTACCACCCAATACCATATAGTATAGTGTGGTAATATCAATATATATTTCATTACCACACAATATCATATGATATAGTGTGATAATATCAATATATATTACCTAAAAGAAAAACAACAAAAGGAGCGAGAGCAAAAAACTTGTCTTCTGTCTCGTCTCATTTTCTCCGCAATTAAGAACACAAAAAGCCAGGAAAGGAGAAAGATCGAAATTGAGGCCAATGATTTGATGAAGAGAAGAAATGCAATGAAAGAGGGTGACTGCAATTTTTCTTCGTCGATTGCTGGAGAAAAATGAAGAAGAGGAGAGCAGATCTAGATCTGGAGAAGGAGATTGGGAGAGAGAAAGGAAAAGAGAAAGGATAGTTGAAGAGAAAGAATTTTTCTCTCTCCTCTATTGAAAAACCAACCATTAAATGCGGGATAAATAAAAAAAAAGTGTAAAAACATACAAAAATGCCTCTCCCACCCTCGCGTCCAGCCCAGTCGCACGATGACTCCGCCGACTAGATCTACGGTTCTCATGTGGTTACTGACATGTCAACCAGTAGTGTTATTGACTGTATCCTGAGTCATCCAATACTATTTTACAAACCCGCTAGAAAATAACTAGAAGGAGGGAAAATGTAATGAAACTTACATATGCGGTACTAATCTGTATGAGAAACGTTTCAATCTGCCCCTTTAAGTTTTTACATGCAAACTGTGTCGTTTTGTCTATTACGAGTTAGTCGTTATTTAAGTACTGTTCATCTTTGTAGTAGCCTATAAAACAGGGACATGTGGACTAGCGGGCTAATTTAAATTAGCACTATAAGGGAATGGGCCTAGCCCAGGGGTTCTCTTTCAACGGTTAGAGTAACTACTGTCGGGCGTTATGTTATTAACATGTGGCAGCAAATGATCCAGCGGTTCCAATACCCGCTGCGAGGCCTAACAAAATAACATGTACTTTGTTTTCAAATCCAAAGACCTTGCATTTTATCTTTAACCACCATGAACTTGAGGTCAGTATATTTGACTTCTGAAATCCATGGTAATGATAGTGTATCACTATCAAATTATTATCACTGCTAACCTTTAATAACTTACCAATGTCATTTTATTGACAAAAACTTTACAACCATAATTGGAAGTCTCTTTTAAACTCTATCCAACTCTTAAAGGTAACCTTATATCACCACATCATAACTTTGTTTTAGAGACAAATAATTAGAGGCAGTTATTGTAATAATCTATATATGTATGCTTTAGGGACAAAAATATTATTTATCCAGTAGGTTAAATCATTTGTCTCCGTTTGTTAAAATTATCTAATAATTTATATAAAATAAATTTAAATAATAGCTTTAGAGGCACTTATCCTATTTGCATATGATGTAATTGCTTTTAGAAACAAATACAAATGTTACGTATAGTATACTATATATAGTCAAAATATAATAATCTTTAGAGACAAATACAAATGTCACTTATATGTATGTTATATAGAAACAAATATAATACTTGTGTAGACAAATAAAAAGGTCACACGTAGTTATATCATGTGTTACTACTCCTGCAATTAAGATATCTTTGAATGGGGGCCTCTGTGGAAATGTTAGGGCAAAAAAAGGATTAAGGCAAGGTGACCCTTTGTCACCTTACCTCTTCACCATAGCTATGGAGGTTTTGGATGGCTTTGCTGGGAAGGCAGTGAGGGAAAATCAGATCCCTTATCACCCACGCTGTAAAGCATTAATGATCACGCATCTTTGTTTTGCGGATGATCTGATGGTTTTCACGAATGGATCAGTAAGGGGGGGGGGGTGGCAGGTATAAGGAGGCTGATGGATGAGTTTTATACTCTATCTGGTTTGAAATGTATTGCAACAAAGTGCCAATTATTCTTTGCTGGAATATCTAAGGAATAACAGCAGTATATATCTACTATAACATAGTTTCCTCTTGGGTCCCTTCCTGTTAGATATCTTGGAGTGCCTTTGATAACTGGTAAGCTTTCTAAGCAAGACTGTCAAGTGCTTATGGACAAGATAACTCAGAGGCTTCGTAGTTGAAGGTCTCAGTTATTGACATATGCAGGTCGTATCCAGTTGATCTCATATGTTATTTCTAGTACAATGCAATTCTGGCTAAATATCTTTCTGCTTCCTAAGTATATAATTGAGGAGGTAGAAAGGTTATGCAATGAATTTCTCTGGGATATAGCTGATGGTGGTACAAGGAAGAAGGCAGTAATGGCTTGGAATAAACTTGCGATACCAAAACGCGAAGGAGGTCTGGGAATTCGAAATTTCAGCCTCTGGAATAAGGCATGTGTGTTAAGGCATGTATGGGAGATATTAACCAATGGCGGTTCACTCTGGGTTGCCTGGGTCTATCGATATAGGCTGAAGCAGAGGAGTTTTTGGGATATTTCGATTTCCTCTGCAGGGACATGGATATGGAGGCAGCTTTTGAAGTGTCGTGAGATTGCTGCTACTTATGTTTCAGCTGCTCCTCCCAATGTATTATGGCAAGGGCAACAGATGAATAGATACTCGGTAAAAAGAGTGTGGGACACTATCAGAGAACATAAGCAGGTTGTGGAATGGCGTAAACTGGTGTGGTCTAAGGAAATTATTCCTAGACATGGTTTCATTTTGTGGATGGCTCCGCACGATAAATTGGTGATGCAGGATAAGCTCCTCGGGTGGGGAAAACAGGTTTCTGGGCTGTGTCTACTATGCCCTGGTGGAGTAGAAACTCGTAATCATCTCCTGGTTTCATGTTCATTCACTATCTCTGTATAGCGACATTGTTTGAAGCAGTTTGCTCCTCCAAAGGAAGGGGACTGGAATGCAGTAGTGGCCTGGTGCACTCGGTAGTGGGGTAAGACAAATCCAAGGCATAGTTTATGTCGTTTGATATGGAGTTCAGCCATTAGCTACGTTTGGCGTGAGAGGTGTACTCGCTTGTACGGATTGAAAATGATTAGGCAGCCTGAAGTGTCAGCAAAGCAAGTGCTAGCTGATGTCTCGTATAGGGTTTCCTGTGATCTTGCCCTCCAGGCAGAGTTAGAGTATATAGATAGAATACTTTGTTAGGTTTTTTTTTTATTGTAACAGTTTGAGAGGCGCATCAAGTTTTTCCTTGATGGTTTGCCGGTGCTTAATGCAAGTTTTTTGATTTCGTATAAAAAAAAGCAGCCCTTTCATTGTTTTTTCCGTTGAATTGTAGAGATTTCATTCATTATTGAGGAATATGTATAAGTCCAAGAAATTAAAATTTTGACATTGACGCTATAATAAAAAAAAACTAGCCTTTACCTCGGCCCGTTGGCCGTAATTGTTTAAGGAAAATGGAATAACAATATCTATAATGTTAATGAGTCTTATTTTATATTATCATAAGATTATTGCAATTCGGTGAAGACGAACATG